GACTTCAGAAATCTTCTTTTCGTTGAACAAAACCAAAGTGAATATTCGACGGTTCACTGACCTGGCCCAGTAGCGAATGAGATTACGAATAGCAGCACGAAAACGATAGCACCATAGCTGGCCCACTGGTGACCGCTGGCAGTCAGTGAGAGGGCAACCACCAGTAGAATTGTTGAGATCCACATTCCGCTCATACCCATCAACATCAACGAACGACGTCCGAACTTTGGATGATCTACCTGAAGTCCAGTGAAGAAAATACATTAAGGAAAAACTCAGAGCTTTAGTAGGGATTTTTTTACTCGTGCAGAAATCAGGAAAAAATCGCTAAAAATCGAACAAAAAAACTGACAATAAACCCGTTAGGCCAAAAGAAGATTAGAAAGATATAAAACAGCAGTAATACTGCCTACTTCCGATAAAAAAAAACAAATGAAGAAGTAAAAAAGCCATTTTTTTAAACCTACCAGCCACACTGATATGACGGTCATGATCACATTCACTGTACCCATACCAATCGTTGCATAGACAGCACCTTCGTTGCTGAGACCGGCCTGCTTGAAAATCACCGTCGAGTAGAACATGGCCACATTGATACCTGGAATATCAATGTTGCAAAGATATCGGATTATATTTGAGTTGGATTGAAACCAACGAACATAATTTTATTCTTTAACTTCACTGCCCCGCTCTTAAAAGCGAAAAGAAGCACAAGCACCATGTCTAGTCACGCTGGCTCATCATGCAAAGATAACGATAAAAATTGGTTTTGAAATTTCCAAGGTGGACCAGTAAACGACGCTCAAGTATGCCTCGAGGAAGGCTGTGGGCCGAGAAGACGACATGGATAGGGCCAATAAGGACTCATAGACCGCTTTTCCGAGGTCCACACTCAAAGTGCGTGTTTTTACGGTAGTGTAAAGGTTACACTATTCACGATAGAACGCACATGTTGGAAAACTAAACGCTTAAAATCTCTGGCTCAATCTCTTCTAAATACCTTTCCATACCATTACCATACCATCCTGCTACTCTCGTGCAACTCCCTATTTTCAATACTTTCAAGAAGCCTCGCATTTCTCGAATTTCGCGTATTTACTCGCTCTCTCCGCTACTGATGCACTATTCTCCACCAAGATCTTCGCTTTTCAGCTTATAAGGGTACCTCAAAATTATCGCGAGCTGTGCCTTTGACTATCATGTACAGCTAATTAGCGTGACAATGCTCAAGTTTCCAAGAAGATTTATTAGACTCGTTTAAAAATAGTTACCTGACAGCTGCTGGGCAAGCATCATCATTATAGCGATGGTCATCGGCCAAAGCAAAGATCCACGGAACATGTCCAGCATTGATGGACGTTGTTGAGCTGCTGCACCACTGGCGGCCGCTTCTTCACGGAACATTTCAATCTCGGCACTCACCTGAATATACCTCATACCTTTTGTAGCTTACAATGTCAATGGTCCAAGCAACTCACATCATTTGTTCCTCTCAACTTCTTCAGATCACGGGTAGCTTTATCTTGCTGCCCACGAACACACAGGGTGTACTTGGGTGATTCGGGGATCATCGGCAGTGTGATCACTTGCAACACTGATGGTACGACAGTGAATGCGAAAATGAGAGGCCATCGGTCAGTATTACCAAGGATGTACGGTAAGCCAAGTATCTGAAAACAGGGCTTGGAATACCATGTGATCAAAGACAACAACTTTCAAATTCGATCAATTTGAGTTTCTTCATTGCAGCTATTCCTTCTAAACACCACTTTCCTACGTTTTTCATTGAATGCTTCTTCCCACATTGCATGCCCTATGTTACTTCCTCACAGCGGTCAACGGCAAGCAAGAAAACTCCGGTAACTGGGAATCTGGTTTGATGATTCTAACTCAAGTGGGCAATTATACACAACCGGTCATGAAGGAAAAGGCCGATGACTAGAAACCGCAAAATTGAGACAAGTGCCCGTAGACTATTGATGTCATGAAATATTCACCACAAATTTATTCCAATTAAAGGCCATTTCGAAGTCTATTTCGGAATCGCATTCAGCTTTAGAACGGCGGAGGAACATTCAATGGCGTCAGCGTAAGATCGGGTAATAAATATTAAAGGCACCATTCACAAAAAGTTAGGGTATCCTTTTTTGACGGGAATTGATAGAACTACTCTAGAATGAAGCGATAACAACGAAAAAAGCGCAAAAAAACGATGAACAAAAAGAATTACGAAGGGCCAAAAAAAAAAGAGCTGGAAAGGGGGTTGGACGAGTTTCACATTGAAAGAGCGTCGGTTAGAGACGATCGGTGTCACGTTAGACGAGTGTCGAGACGACACAGTGTCATGTAATCGCGTCAGGACCCACCCTGAATTGCAAATTGGCAAATTGCCAGAGACGCAATGCAATAGCAGACAACGCATTGC